TTGACATTTGTTATTATCATTATTTAATCCTTACATTAATATTCTATCTCAAAGTTCTCATCTTCTTCTCCTTTTTTTTCTTTATTATTATTATTATTATTATTATTGGTATTACTACTAATATTATTATTATTGTTGTTGTATTATTATTATCATCATCTATAATTTATATAATTAACCTCCCTATGGTTCGACCCTGATCTAGCCGGGTTATTTATTACTTCGACACTCCTATACTTAGAAGAAGACATCAATCTTTTGGTCGTGTCAAGTATGTTAAGTCATCAATTAATTAATTAGAATTACTTTGTTAAGAGAAAATATCTTTTCACTCATTCATAAAAAAGTTGGTAAAAAAGTACGGAAAATTTGAATTCATCTACATAAAAAAAAGCTTAAGTTAAAACCTTATAAAAGAGTGTAAAAGAAGCTCACATTCAATGTCTATCAATTTTGTAGTTTCCATACACGTGAATTAATAAGCATTGCTTCCTACTTGTTCTAACACTACAATTTAACCATTTTTTGGAACTAAAAGAGGATTAATATACTAGTTTAATTGTATTTTCAAAAAGACAAAATAAAATTGACTTAAAATTAAAACAAATAATAAAAAATAAATTTTAAATATATCACTCTATATTTTTATTAATATCAGCTATCATTACTATTTACTCTTAATTTTGTCAAATATAGCAATATAAATAAAAATTGTCTTCCTTAACCCATATCAAAAACATAAAATAACAAAGAAATAAACATCATCACAAATATCAAATTAACAACAAAAGATCTAAAAAATCAAAATATATAAAAGAGAAAATAGAAAAAACTTTTAAACAAGCATACCATTTAATTTCAGCTAATTAATACAATCGATATTATTAATTAACTGGATAATAATTGATTCCTTTTTGTTTAAATTTGAGAGAAGTGTAAGACATAATACAAGATTTTAAAATTTGCAAGTTTCTTTACTTCTGCTTTTAAAGAAAAAAAATAAACTATTGACTAATTGCTATAAAAATAGACGTTGGTTAATGGTCATTTTCTTCTGCCATTTCTACAAAGAAACATAGAAATGGCTTTTCAAAAGATAAATAGCTATTTTAGTTATTCATTTGTCTCAGCGGTTGGAATGAATAAAAACATAAACAAAAACTAAAAGTACAACTTTTTAAATTTGCCTCTTTATTTAGCTCTCCCATTAAAGATGTTCTAATAGAGTTAAGTGATTTTTTTAGAAATATATTAAAATAATATATATATATATATAATTTATTTGATCATGTTTAATTTAAAATGTTATTAAATTAATATTTTTTTAATATTTTTTAATAATTTTATCAATATAAAAAGTAATAATAGTTTTTTTAAATATATTTTTACATAAAAACCTTTGAAAAAATATCCAAAAACATAAACCGCTCCCATGAATAGCCGACTAGGAGTAATAGTTGCATTTGCAATTGCTTGGAAGGTTAAAATTCAATTGAATCAGATTTTAGCTTATTACACGTCCAGGGCAGGGCAGAACTCAATACAAGGGACACCACTAAATACGACAACAATAGTGCCTCTTCCACAGCCACAACTACCCCGTAAAGACGCGGGCGAGGCCTTCCAAGTTTGACCCCCCACCAACCCCACCACTACCGGGACGATTATCTCCCTTCTCCGCCGACATGCCTTCGGTTTTGGAATCATCGATAGAATAGATTAGATTAGATTAGATTTATTAGCACCCACTCTCGCACCAACCTCTTTCCTTGCTCTCTTTCTTCCTGTTTATTTAATACAGGAAAGCTCTCCTATGATGCTACTTAGTGTCCAAAGGGAGCAGCCAAGAATGCTCAAAGAGGAAGGAGTTTTTTTTTTTTAATTATTATTTCAAAATTTCATGTTGTCCTTTAAACTCCAAACTCCAAAGGGATGCGATTTTGTTTAAAAGAAAAAAACAAATTCCCAGTTGAGATCCACAACAAATCCAATGACACATCACATATGACAAAATGGAGAATGTTACTAAATGTTTACCTCTACTCTCTCTTTTTCATATTTAAAAATCCACAGCTATTATGGCACTCAAATCCAAATGGAAAACAAAACGGATTCCTTTGCAGCTCAAACCAGTACAATGGGGTAATCTCAGGTCTCCCAAGTATGAAATGGAAGCTATTGTTACGGTATGATGTTACACAGACCTCAAACCTTCCACAAGTCTGGGCTTAAAAGCTATTGTTGAACCATCACTAACTAGCTACATTTCCATGCGTGGTCATACCACAAACAAAACGGCGGGGTTGGGTCACTGACCATGTCTAGCTTTAGACAAGGTTTTCATCAAACCTTTCACTATCTTCCAAAACCATAACACATTCATCACGTGGTCATACCACAAACAAAACGGCGGGGGTGGGGCACTGACCATGTCTAGCTTTAGACAAGGGTTTCATCAAACCTTTCACTATCTTCCAAAACCATAACACATTCATCACTGCCAATGTCCCAGGTATCACAAGAATGCTATAGAAGCCCAATGGAAATATTTGTTTGACCTGAAACAAAGGAATGTACGATATGAGGGAAAGAGAGACCAGCACCATGGTAATTTGTAACCCAAAAATTCATACAACCACTTGCCAAGATAATTGCACCATCCTGAATTTACACCATTTCATTATCAGCATATCACAAAATCACAGCCACTAAAATGCACAGAACAAAAGCAAATATTATAAGTATTCTGATGCCATGTCAATTCCAAAACTTGAATAGAACATGTCAAACAACCTGTTGGTTAACGAAAGCAAATATGATATGTATTCTGATGCCATGTCAATTCCAAACCTTGAATAAAACATGCTAAACAACATGCTACATCTATAACTGTTGGTCATTGAAACTCATATTGATAAGAGTCAAACTTAGATGCATCACTCACCTGATCAAAATGGATAAACATGTGGCTGAAGAAGAAGATGAACAAAAGAATCCTTGCAACCTGACCACATCAGCAGTTATTGTCACCATTATTGACCCACATTAAAGAGCAGTAAGAACAAATATGACACATGGTGACATTACAGAGCTATGTGGAAAAGATAAATGACAATCATTAAGTTTGGAAACCTGTCATGATTCAGTCCCAAACTCAATCATATCATCTTCTACTGTCTGTATTTATGATCTAACTATCAAAACAGAACCAATCCCCATATAGGAATGGCACACACTGGCCTCTTTAAGGGTCACCTTAACTAAATTGATGCCAAAAGGCTGCCAGAATGTTACTCTCTCTCAAAAAAAGAAGGCATAGGAGAAAAGGGCATTTCAAAGTAACATATTGAACTTGGAATCATGCAACTCATCATTTTCAAAAGGCATGCTCTTAATCATCCACCTTCGGTGCCTAAAATAAAATGGTGTTTCTCTCTTCCTTTTGACCTTAATGCTCCATTTATGGAGACAAACAAGTCATGGTCTATTCATTTTCGCATCAACACAAATTTGAACAAGTTTAACACTCAAATATCATGTTAAGTAGACTACAAGCAAAAGAAGGCAATCGTAATATCTAAAGTGATTAGCTGTACTCGCAAAATAAGTAATGAAGTATGAAATGAATTCCACATCACATGTGCATAACATACAAAAATTACTGCAAGACAACTGAAATAACCATGATTTTAATGTGTGTTAGTACCAGCCACCCCACGAACAATAGAACTCCATTCCAAACGTACAATTTAGAGCTCTTCTGACCAGCAACGTCCAAATACCTAAATTTGCATCCAGCAGATTAAGGAAGCTTTAAGAACCAAGTAATCATAAGGAAATTATGGAACACCTTCAAATGATAACCTTACCATCTCAAATTTACAAAGGGAGTTGTGATCTCAGAAAAGAGAACCATTAATATGTAAATCTGTGCTTGACCACTTAGGAGGGCGAGGATTATGGAGAACATGGATAGTCCATGGTGCAAAAGCTTATAGAAATGGAGCAGATCATTAGAAATTGGTTCTTATGAAATGCCACTGAAAATCAAAATCTCACACAAATAAAGAATATCAACATCATTAGCAAATTGTTTATAGGAACTAATAAAGAAAAAATCAAAGGGTATTCAAGTCGACTTGACTTCACAGGCAGGCAAGAGTGTTTGCCAATCTTGTTCAAACAAACAAATTATTGATAATAATGATACTTAAAACAGAAAATTTTGCTGTGAGTCTATTAAGGGTAGAAACCACACAATTCAATTCACAGTTCATAATATGTTTACTTATAATGACAGTCTCAAGAGGACTTCTCTTTTTCCTTATCTTTTGCTTGTTTGTTGGAAAACGAATAGACAGGCTCAAGGCTTGGAAAAAAAAAATTGATTAAAATGTTCATCCACCATGGACTCTTTATACTTACATACTCCATACCACCTAATGCTGGAAAATGAAATAGAATCATTGCCAGATCTGACAGAAAATAGCCAACGGATATCTGCACAAAACCCAGTAAAAATGAATTAGGAAAGACAAACAAAAAATTCCTCTCAAGTTATCAGACATTACTGAAAATATGTAACCGATTCCTATATAAATGATGAGCTCATTGTTCCAAATACTTGATCAAATATGACAGTGTATATCGACAATTTTAGTAAATTAAACCTCTGCCAGATGATGTTTCCATACATATATTTCTAAGCCTTCACTCTGGGAGGATTGTAAATGGATAGCATTTTAAGCAATATATCAATACGATATGTTACAAAAGGATGGTTCTTCACTGAATTTAATATTGCAATGAATTGGACCCATGCACTTCAACTGAAAAAGAATCCTGTACACCATGTTAACTATTGATATATTTCTTAGACAAGAGAAAATTGGTCTCCCAGTGTATGATTGCTCTCTCAGCATGCAAATATTGTTCACAAGTACACATGTGCACATGAAATACTGAGAAAGCTGCTCATATTAGTCAATCCACATACGTAAGCAGTGTGTTATTCAAGATGCAGTTGAAACTATCAACTGACAGGATTCTAGCAGCGCAACAAACTTTCACTAACAAGTATAAATTTGAACTATCTAGATGCAGAAAATCAAAAACATTTAGTGGAAAAAGAAATCCAGCTTTACATCGGAGGCTCATGCAAACACAAATCAGGCATTGATGGAACATAGATATACCATAAAGTGATAACTAGTATGCTTGGAATGCAAAGAAATAATGTTCATCATGACCATTGGTGAATATGCGACAGCGAAGTCGATGTTCATAACGAAATGGAGACATGACAAATTAATTGCTAAAAGGGATAGAAATTATGAGAGATGAAAAATTAAACAAAGAAACCGTATAATAACTTTCAGCTTACCCCCAATGTGGAGTTCGATAAAGTAGAGGTTCTATTAATAACTAATTCATCTCTAGAATCCTCATAAAAAAGACCCGATAACAGCAGGAGGTACAGAGAAGCTGATGCAACAAAGAGAGCATGAAATGTCGAGAACCCTCTGTATCGTAAAGGCAATCAAAGTGAGTTTACGCCTCTAGAGAGCTTGAAAATAAAAAATAAAAAATAAAAATGAAGGATGAATGTGGAATGTGATTGTACCGGTTATTCCATTCAACTTTCTGCGCATCAGTGAGTTTCCCATAACCTTTGAAGTACAAACGGCTAACAAAAGCTGTTAATTTGTAAACCTTCATGGGAAAGATTGGAGTAAGTGAGTACAAATGATGCGAATAAATGCGAAGATTTGTTAAGCTAGCAACAGGAAACAAAATGCCAGTGCAGGGGAAATGAGATATAAAACCAACCGAACAAAATTACATGACTGATTTCCCATCTATCAAAAAGAATTTTACTTTACTGGACAAAAATGGGCTTGTAATACAAACCCTAGGTGGGGAAATGGTAACAAACAAATTAAAGTAGAAAATTGAAGAGGCACACTTACAATTCTGCAGGCAATGATGCCAGACAAGACGGAAGACAGCAGATGAAATTGTTTGGTTGCAGTGTCAAGTGCACAAGGAAAAGACAAGGCCGCCGCCATACTAGACTTGCTACTAGTCTTTCTGGATGGAAATATTTTATAAGAGATCAAAGACAGGCCACATGTCAGGCTAATCTAATCTGAAACTGAGTTGCCCAAATTATGACAAAAATTGAACATAAAAAATATGAGGTAGGCGATGTATAAATTGTATGGATATAATTAGACATAGATAATAATGTCGTCACATATTTTTTTTTGGGTCTTGTAATGGCGAAGGAAGTCAGGTAGTGAAGAAGAAGAAGAAGAAGAGACTAACAACTGGTACCCGCCTCTGTCTCCGCCATTAGCAGCATAATGTATTATTTTCTCCGCCCTCTTAAATGCTACTAATTGCTAATGCTATCTGTTTACTGTACTGCTACCACAATCAGACGCTTCGGTTTCGAATTGTTATAAAATTAAATGAACAGCTTTAGAATTATTTTATAATTCATATACCATCTTTTAGTCTTTCTTCTATCCAGACTCTATCACTATGTAGTACCGGAAAAAGGGAAAACTTTGGACGGAGCGGGGTCAAACAGATTACAAATATAGATGGAAGGCGAAAGACGATATTGGCTTTCTTCTCCGATTGCTTTCCTTGGGTGTGTGCGGATCGTGGAACCAACTGGATGGGTATGGCCCTTACGTAATACTTTGTGTGTTTATCTATTTGTTACGGAGGCCCAAGGGCTACCCCAAGATATGGCCTGATGATCAATATGCCCGCAAATATGATCACAAATTAATCATTATGCCACTACACTCAGAGTTCTGATCCCCTGATGAGGAGCAAGATAGACTAGAAATCAGCAGCGAAGGCAGAAGCAGAAAAAGTCCAAGCAGGAAGAGGATTTTCAGCAGCAGTAAGTCAGCAACAAGAGGCGGATTTGTTGTGGCAAACAGGGAGGGAGAAAGAGGAAATATCCTACAAAGAAAAGGAGAAGGAAAGTCCACTATGAGGTGACCATCGGTCAATGCAAGGTACCTGATAAAATGATCAACTCTATGGTATTTTCTGTATGTAACACAATGTTGTAGATTCCGAAGTTGTATTGATTAGGATACAGATGATCCTAATTCAATTATTTTCTTTGCTTTCACGGGGCATTAACTTTTCTAGTCATCACTAATCAGACAGCTTCAAATAACTCTTAAAATCTTAACCAATTTGGATAATTCACGCTTTAATATTCCTGGTTCACAGAGGAGCTATCAGCCCACAAAGGAGAATTGATAGAAGATCTGTAGTTTATATGCAAGAGGGAAAACTTGCTTGTAGAAGGCAGTCAAGTGTCAACATTCCCTTGATGATGAAGCAAACACATGAATATAGAAGATTTGATTAGCGAAAATAATTACAAATGTGATTCTTAAATTTAGGGTTTTATTTTTTGAAAAAACAAAATATATGAAAGCATAATAAAAATTAACATGTAATTTGAAATAAAACAATAAATCCAAAAAAAACCCTAGAAAAAATAAAAAAAATCCAAATAAAACTTTTAGGCATAATTCTGAGAAATCTAATAATCTAATAAAACTAATAATAAAATTACTTGAAAAATTTTAAGCCCATATCCTTATCCAAATAATCTTGTTTCCACAAGTTCAGTCCCTCTCATTGTTTACCTGAACTCAAATTATTGTAGATTGGAGTAATATAATAACAGAGGTGTCCTTATCAAAGAAACTTGCTAAACATGTAGTAGATACAATATTTTCTTTTCCTTAATAATATGCATTTAGCTTTGAAAGAATGATTAGGAATAAGATAGTCGATTCAGATTTTGTTGAGGCATAATAAGATTGTCAGGCCCTAAGCGCTAGGTGGTGGCAAGACTGTTAGCACCAGACGCTGGGGTCAGGTATGATTACTATATCCTAGATTCTCGAGTCAGGTGAAACATCAAAACCCTAAATGCTCATGTCAGGCATGATAGCCAAACTTAAGGCTCTGGAGTTTAGCGCCTAGACCCAGGGCTCTTAGGTTTGATGGTAAGACTCAAAGTTCTTGGATTTGATGTTTAGATCCAAGAACCTTGGATCTAGCGATGCAGCCAGCACAAGACTCTTAGGTTTGGCCTTGTAGACTAATCTAGGGCTCTTGGGTCTGGTGTTAAGACCCAAGGCTCTTAGGTCCGATGGCAGGACCTAAGGCTTTGGGGTCTAGTGTCCGGACTCGGAGCTCGTGAGTCTGGCTTCCAAACCCAAGACTCTTGGATCTAACGTTTAAGAAAAGCTCAAAATTCTTGGGCTGGATGATGTAGTAAGACTTACTTAAACTTGGGTAAGATAAATTTAATAATAATATTATTATTACTATTAAAATTATTATTATAATTAATATTATTAATATAATAATTAATAAATTTGAAAAAAATATTATTAATAATGAAAACAAAAATCATTGATTTGATTTGAAGTGTAAAATTAAAAATTATTATTATTATTATTATTTTATTATCATTAATAAATTTAAAATAGAATATTATTAATATTGAAGAAAAACCATAAATTTGATTTGAAAGGATTAAAAACTATAAGAATTTGGGTTAAACAAGTTTATTATTATTATTATTATTATTACTATTACTATGAGGGGAGTCAAACCTTAAGTATCTTGGGTTTGACTGAGGTGCCATACCCAAGTTTATAATAATAATAATAATGAATATTAAATATTTTTTTAAAAAATATTATTATTATTAAAGAAAAATCTTAAATTTGATTTTAAAGGATAAAAAACTATAACAACTTGAGTCAGATAAGTTTAATATTATAATTAAAATTAAAAATATTATTATTTATATTATAAATATTACTATTAATATTATAATTAATATTACTTGGATCTTACTTTGCAAACATATACAAATCTAAAATTACGTTGCGGCCCGATGATCTACTGCTCTTGGATCTTGTGCATATATATATATATATATATATATATATATATATTGTTTGTTAAAAAAATTAAGCATTGCACGGGACATCTAAGTAGTTAAATATTAAATCTTTATGGTGATCATCTAGAACATGATTTCTTCCTTCTTCTTCGTTCACGCTAGTTATAGCTTCTCAAAACTGCATATGAAGACGCAACCAACCATTTCACAATCCTCCAAATCAAGATGTGTCAAACAGATAAATTTTGCAATTTGCCTTTAAATTTTGCAAGCGGAAACTAGGAAAAAAAAACATATAAGAGATAATATTTTGATGAGAAAAAATAGTTTGAGAAGTGAACCCTTAATTTATATTTTTATTTTGAAAATAAATTTAATAATATTTTTCCTTTTAAAAAGTTTACAAGACTTTTAAATAGGACTATACCAAAAAACTTTATTTCTTCTATAAAACAAATAATTTGAAAAGCATAAGGAAATTTAACACAAAATTCAAAATAAAATAATAAATTCAAAAACAATCAAGAAAAGATAACAAATTGATTCAAACAACATCTTTTGTATCTAATTTTAAAAGACTTAATGATATAATGGTATGATGAATGAAAAAGTGATTTTTTTTAGAAAAACTACCTGTAGAATAATTAAAAAAAAAGTTGAGTCTGATCCAACAATTAAATATTTTATTATCTTTTGTTTTTAAGTTATTATCTTAGTTTGGTGCAACTAGATATATATTTTTTTTGGCTTAAACCTATGATAGTAGCTCATAAAAGCACATTTTCTAAACAATTAACATAATCTTGTTGAATACAGATCCCTATTTAGTTGTGTTAGATGCTCGTTTAAATGTTTATAATTTTTAGTTTCTACTCGGCTACTTCACTAATTAACATTATGCTCCAGGAGAACCTTCTCATCCAAAACTCATGCTCATGCCCCTTCGCCTTTCCTACTCTTTAACTTCTAGCCTTAGTAAGTGTAAATCAAAGTTTGTAAATATATTAGATTAATAAATAGTGATATTTAGTTTTTTATAACAAAAAGCATAAAAAGCATAAAAAATTATTCAATGAAAGCCTAAAAGGTATATGTCTAAATATATAAACATGAAAAAAAAGCTCAAGAAAAACATGATTCCAACATAAATATAATATAATAATAATACTAAATATATATTCAAACTTGCAATTTATATATAATCAAAGTTGAGCATGCATGCTAATAATAAAATTAACTATCCTTAAATTAGAACAAAAAAAATATTTGCTTGTTGAAACACTTTAAAATAACAAATATTTTGTTGTTGTCAAGGATGAATCTTTTGTCCTTAAAGTTTTATTACTTCACACTTGTGTAATTATGATGTTTGCAATATGCATTATAAGATTTCAACACCACTACCTTTATTTAAATGCACTTCCAAACTAAGGTCTTTGAACTACAGATTATATAACTTAAATATCTCTCACCAAAATATGAAATTAAGTTCTAGATTTAAGAAAAAAAACTAAAGCATAATAACGAATGAAAAAACTAAAAATAAAATAAGAAAGAGCACCAAAATATGAAATTAAGTTCTAGATTTGAGTGAAAAAACTAAAAATAAAATAAGAAAGAGCGTGAAAAAAACTAAAAAATTCAAGTAAGAAACTATTTTTTCATCCCTCTTTTTTTAGTAAAATTTGAAAGCTAACAGGTTGAAGAATTAATAAGAATTTAATTCCCATCATTATCAATATTTGATTAGCCACAATAAATAAAGAATTAAATTTAGAAAAACCAATGGTTCTTTAAGTATAAAATCTAAGGCTTTTTAGATCAATTTCTTATTCATTTATAATTTATTTAAATCATGTTAATTAAACAAATTTCTAAAAACCCCACATGTGAATAGAAATTATCACACCAGTTTGAAAATGACTTGAAGATTTATTAAGAGATACTAATTTTGTAGATTACTATATCAAGATAGGTAATTTTAAACTTTGAACCTTCATTAATGAAATATCATTATGTTCATTTGGTAAAATAGTGAATGCAATGTCTTGAACTATTCAATCTTTTATATAAACTAAGACAATAATACTCATATAGCTCTCTACTTAGATGTTTCTTTTGGTTCTCATTATTATGTTTATTTTGATCGTGAATAACTTTTAAGTTTAAGAGTGCTTTAGAGAATTCAATTTTAATCAAAATTCTCAAAGAAACAACTATATTTTTCATTTATATAGGTAATCTTTCATTAAGAGATTTATGTTATACTCCATTTGGTGTATCAAGATATGAAAATCATTAAGAGCTCAATTCATTATTATCACATTGCAGCTAACACTTATTTCATCATAAAAATAATAAGAGATAATAATTTCCTAGTGCTATCAAAAATAATTATATAACTTAGTTTTTTATTTGAACCTAAAATCTTGAAATCTTCAATCAACTAGGTATAGTTATCATTATTATACTCTTTCAACTTTTAAGGGCTTTAACCTCATTCCCCTTGATGAATTATACATAAACTTTCTCGACAAACCTTTGGTTAGTGAATCCACAATATTTTTCTTTGACTGTAGATATCAGTGAAAAACATTCCATTCAAGAACAAGTATTTAACAATATTATATTTGCGATGTATATGTTTAGACTTACTATTACACATATTACTTTATGCCCTTCTAATTGCCGATTGATCATTGCAGTGAACATAAATAGCTGGCATTGGTTTTGGCTAGCATGAAATATTCTCTAAAAAATTATGAATCCATTTGGCTTCCTCTCCAACTTTATCAAAAGAAATAAATTTTGATTTCATCATGGATCTTGCGATACATGTTTGTTGGAGGATTTTCATGACACAGCTATTCCACCAAGTATGGAGACATATCGACTTACATATTTCAAATTTTTATAGTCGAATATCCAATTAGCATTATTATATTTGTTTAGTATTATTGGGTAATCAATATAGAGTAGTTCATAGTCCAAGATGTACTATAAATACTTGAGTACCTTTATTTATTGTATTCTAACTATCCATGCTTGGATTACATATAAATCTACTTAGTTTACTAAGTAAGTATGCAATATTAGACTTTATGTAGTTTATAACATATATTAGGCTTTTAATTATTTAAAATTATTTCAATTGATTTATTTTTCTATCCCTATTATTGAATAGATGCACACTTAAATCAATTAATCTTTTGACAATAT